ACTGTGTCTCTGTGTGTCTCACTCTCTGACTGTCTCTGTGTGTCTCACTCTCTGTTACTTTGTCCAGCAGAGCTTCAGGTTTCTTGTAAAAACCCACTGGTACCTTGCAGCAGAAGAACCCTGACTGAATAGGTACTCTGTTCACTGACTCATCAGTGTGTGTGTGTGTGTGTGTGTGTGTCTCAGCAGAGGAATTTAAAAACCACTGGGATGAGTTTCAAATGAAGGAGAGACAACTGGTCAGGGAACACGGAATGTCTGGGATCAGAGAAACTCACAAGGTTCGACCAACTCTTCACTTCTGACTAAGATTTCAACTTTGAGGTGAATTTTAGCAGTAGCAGGAAATCGGCGTCCTCAGAGAGCAGTGAAACCATTACAGTTGTTTTGACCACTGACCCAGCAGGAGATCGCTCGGTGCTGCACATTGTCCGTCCGACTGTGAGAGACGAGGATGGCCCTCAGCCTAACCCTGCTGCAGCCTCCTGACAGCAACTACACTAGAAGGGTCTTTTTGTGTAATCCTGCAAACTAACATGCTGAAATGTCCTGAACTATCTCCATCACACTTAAACAAGTACCCTGAAAGGCGGCAAGAGGAACACGTGACTGTCATGATGACCAGCACCGTAATTCACAACCTTAATTCACAATTCCACGTATTTTTAGACGATAACTTTTGTGCAGACAAACTTCTAAAGTTCTCAGCATCTGACTGGTGGCTGCTGCTGATTTCCCACTGTGTACTATATGTAACAGATTTTTAAAAGTGATTTTCCAACGTCCCAGTGAGAGCAAAGCCTCGGAGAGCTGAGCCTGTGGTGGATGAGTGGAAAATAGAGTTAATGAGTCCAACATGTATTGTGAGTATGTGCCAGGTCATTGGGGAAAGAGAGAGAAGCTGCTGTGGTTTGTTTCCTGACTCGCTCGCGCTCCAGAGATGAGTCACAACTACTGGCAACAGTTCATAAAGAAGTGGAACATAGAAAAAACCTCAGGGTATCCCCACGTTTCAGAAAGAAGAAAAGAGAAAAGACTTCTTCAGAGGTTTAAATGTTTTACAGTTGCTTGCTTCTGCACTGATTAAATAATCAGGCTTCTCCTTGTGCGGCAGACAACTGAGAAAAATCTGGATCCAATTGATTCCTTTTTTATTTGGACAAATCAATTTCATGTCTGTTTAAACAAATAAAAGTGGATGAATGCAAAAAGTACATATTATAAATACAACTTGTGAGCTGAGTTGTGTGGACACCCACGTCTACGGCTGTAACCAGAGTTGAACCAGCTTTATAGCCAGTGGTCAACGCGCCAATGCCACTAATGCCCCACAGGCAACACACGTGATTCACATCCAGTGGTTCAGAATAAGTACGACCAGGCTGTAAGGCCTCCAGGTGGTTCCCCTCCAGGCCTTCCTCTACAAACACCTTTCAATTCCAGCTCCATTACGTTTCTGGAACTATTCTTAATCCTGTCCTGATGGACAGATTTGCCTCGAATGATTCCAGATTCATTGGAGAATCACCTGAATGACATTAAAGTGGCACCAGGTGACTAACTTCTTGTTTTACACCTACATCTGCAATCCAGCTACAGTCACCAGTTTTGGATAGAGAAGACAACATAACAAATAAAGATGTATTTTCCTGCAGGGTGAGCAGCTCAGAGACTCAAACCCTTGGACAGCGGCAAGACCATTCACTCATAACCTGCTTCTTTCTTAGATTGTTTCAATGAACCTTGACCAGGAGGTGGAAGAAGGGAAATAGACCATCCGTCTATTTTCCTTCTCTCACCAGTTCAGGCCGATGCTTTGGATATTTTACCAACACAGTTAGACTAAATATCAGAAAGTATAAAGTGAGCAGCACAAATTGCCACCTCCTTCAGAACATCCGTAAAACTGATTAAAGGTTTAAAACATTTAATCAGGGAGGTGTCACCTGCAGCAGAAGCAAAATATACACAAACATGTGCATTTAATAAAAAGGAGCAACAGGAAACCAAGACAAGCTACAGAAAACACACAGACATCAAAGCAGAGGATGTGAGTGCAGTTTGTGTGTGTGTGTGTGTGTGTGTGTGTGTGTGTGTGTGTGTGTGTGCGCGTGCGTGCGTGCGTGAGAGAAACAGTAATGAAGATCTCTGGAGCCTCTGTAAAACCTGGCTCGAGGGAGCAGCTGTGAGCGTGGACATGTTTTCATCTCTGTCCACCATATCCTTTAATTGGCTCTTGGCTCTGAGCGATCAGTGAGTACCCCCCCCCCCATCACCTTGTCTTCTCACTCCTCCCCTCCACACTGTGTGACCCGTTTGTTAAACGCTGGCTTTGAACACATGGAGGTGAAAGACTGTTTTGCTCAGTATCTTCAAAAAGTAGAGACTACATGTTGCTGTAGGAGGAGGGCGTCTGAACGGCTCATTCGGACCGTGACATGGACAACGCATCTTTCTCCTGGCGTCCCAGTGACTCCAGGGTTTTGTAAACACTGCTGGACCCACGTCCTCTTTGTGATTGGTTCTCATCAGTCACCTCAGAGATCCAGGGCCGATGAGGTCAGTTGCAGTAATGATCGCAGACTGGAGCTGTGGTAACAAGCTCGACCAATCAAGAGTCAGTCCCAGCTGTCAATCATGACGTCTGTTAACATAACATCACATAACCAATTAAAACCAAACTTATTAAAACACCAACACAAATCAGCGATCTATACTGCAGCCAGCCACCAGGGGGCGATCAAGGTGATTTGGCTTCACTTGTGGGAGCCGTCATCTTTGCCCCCTGTATTTAGATTACATGTCTCATCTGATCATTTGCGTCAATGGGACTAGTGAGTCAGTGCAGCTCCTTCACGTCGTCTCATTTGTTTGACTCCTGTTGGGACTCTCCATCCCGTCTGTCTCCGTCCTTCATCATAACAACCCTATAAAACCTAATTAGTGTTGCCCCTGTTGAGAGCAGCGCACTTTGAGTGCGTGTCGGATGAAAGCTCAGACCCTAACCCAGCTTTAAACAGACTATATGCACTTGAAAGGCTGAAGAACCAGAGGAAACAAATTGAAGCTGGTTTTATTGCAGTGTCATGTGCACTGGACTGCGCCCGATGGTAATGTGTTTATTAAAGCGGAAGGATCTAGTGCGGTTATCAGAAATAAGAGAAACGGAGGTTTACCATGAGAAATATCTGGAGAAAGACGGCGAGAAGCACGAGCAGAGTTTTCTCTTCTATTATAAGACTCTTTCCTGCAGCGTCTAACCTGAAAACAATCTATAATGACAATTCTCCACAGAATCCATCAAAACCAATGAAGGTGAAATGCCCCAAAATGTGGTTGTTTTTAACAGTTTGAGTCTACAAGCATAGACTCCAGACCTGTGGCCTCCGACATCTCATCAGTTCACTGGTCAACATTGGGAATATTCCTTCAAGTCATTCAGATATGTTTAGTGAGTTCACACTGATCCTCGACCTCGAGTCCAATGTTTGTACCAGCTTTGAAGAATTCAATCAGTCAGTTGTTGTTGACGCTCTACAGGGATGAACAGAGGCCCCCACCTTTTTATGCTCCCGAGTTATTCTGCATATTTTGTATGTTTCTTGTATTTGTTTGCATTTTAGTTTTTCGTTTCTAATTTTAAACTGATCGGAAAAAAGATCTATTGAACATAAAAAGTCCTTAAAGGGAGAAGGTGAAACAATGAACAAGATTAAAGGTTCTTCTCAGAATCAGTTTAGTTCCCATTAAAATCCCTAAATTATAAAATATAAGAACATTTATGTTCCTAAATTATAAAATATAAGAACATWTATGTTCCTAAATTATAAAATATAAGAACATWTATGTTCCTAAATTATAAAATATAAGAACATWTATGTTCCTAAATTATAAAATATAAGAACATTTATGTTCCTAAATTATAAAATATAAGAACATTTATGTTCAGCACACTGACTCAGAACTGTCTCCCCTTCACACCCATCCCCCCAAAACACTATGGGATACCACACAGGGAGAAGTGGGGTGAGGGGAAGTTGTAACTTACCGACTCCAGCTGGTCCATGAGTTTGATCAGGAACTTTCGGCACTCTGGTGTTTTACTGTCCAGCTTCATGCCCGTCTGCATAGCATAGAGACGACCTGCAGGGGAGGACAGGAGGGGGGAGACGGGTGAGGAGATGAAAGGTGACGAGGACGACACGTCTTTTTTACTGCTCAGTAAAAAAAAAAACACTCTCCAGCCTCGTTCCAACGTCTGGCCGAGTCATGTGGAGGAATCGTCAATACAGGAGTCCTGATGAATTCTTCACAACAAGCTGCGGATGTTTTCTTCTCCTCTGCAACAGATCAAACACGAAGACGAGCGGAGCAGGAGGAAGGTCAGAAAGATTTCCCCCCGAGCTGTGACAGGCCTCAGTGAGTAGAGAAGACACTGTCAGAACTTCAACTCCCACAATCCCTCATCTGTCAATTAGATCCCCTCACGACCTCAACCAGCAGAGAAGCTGCGATAACTGCGGCTCCGTCCACATTATTACGTTTTAAAACATTGTCCGGCCTCTAAATCAGAGACCTGTGTCAACATTTTAGTTTTACTTTGAAAATCTCCGCTCTGACTTTTCACCATCACTGTTCCTCCTTCTGAGGAGTTTCTGTTACTAAGCAACCAACTGCAGAGGAGACCATCTACTTCCTGTTTGCATCACATGACCAGTCATGTGACGTGTGTTTTCAGGTGTGAGTGTGGACCATAGACTGTAACCTGGGTTAGTGGACGTTAAATAAATGTTTGTCAAGGATGGTCTCTGTTCTTCTCTCACTGACGTTTGTTCACGTGTCTCTGATCAGTTTGGTTTGAATCAGATATTTGACGATATAGAAACAGGCGGAGACGTCATGATTGACAGCTGGGACTGAAAAGAGCTGCAGGGTGAAACCACGAGAAGCAACAACTCTTCACATTGAAGTGTTTTCTACTTGAGGGGTGACATGAGAGGACGGTACCAAACAGCACCAGAGAGATTTTGAAAGGAGGAAAGTGATTTTTTGTGATTTACTGTACTGACCCTGTAAAAAACACTTTCAGCTACTTTTACACAATGCCAACGCCCACGTTTGGCTGCAGTCGATGCTGGTGAGCGTCACTGTCCTGCAAAGCATCAACGGAACAATGTCCCACTTCACGGAGCCGAATGGTGATGGTGGGGGGGTGTATACCACACTCAGTATCCCCCCCCCCCCAAAAAAAAACCCCTCCAGTGTGCAGCCATGAACTCACTGAGGCAGTTAACCAGTCAGTGCAGAGAGACACGCAGCAGCTTGAGCAGCAGGCAGCAAGAAAGTCCGCCAGTCAATCAGTGAGTCATTCCGTCAGTGACAAAGAATTCCTTTGTGCTGTTGCACACAGACACTGCAACGTTCAATTCAGCTGCTCACAGACGATTCACTGCGACACAGACGACTGTGATGACAGCGAGGACGGAACGTGAAGACAACACTGGGAAAACACAGACTCAAAGAAAAGATGGACGACGCGACAGATCCTGAACGTGAAGACAAGGAAACTTGATCTCCCCCTGGGGGATAGCTCCGTCAGCACCACTAGATGGCAGCGTTCGTATCGGAGCTATTTTGGCTTCATTTCTGGAGGAAGTGCAGACGTGTCATCCATCTTTATTTAAACACTGCGTCAGCCCTCTGATGGTCATTAAATGTTACTGCGCTTTATTTTCATTGTCGTTGTAAAAGTCTCAAAATATTCACAACAACATAAAAACTAATAACCTGAAAGTCACGAGAGGTCATACCTCCGCGAGGGCCCGACAGTCCTTTGAGCTCAATCTGCATCAATCACACACTAATAATAATCAGTGGACATGATTTCTTCCCTCAGAGAATTATTCTCTGAGAAATCAACAAAGATATGAAAAACTCCAAAAGTATATTAATTCATACCACTTCCTTCCACCAGGTTTCAAACAATCAAACATGCAACAGACAGGGTTTCCACATGATTACCTCACTGGTGGATGGAAATATAAGATAAGAAGAGGAAGAGGAAGAAATGCAGCTTGAAGTGATTGACGGTTGGAAAATCTGATCATATCAACAAACTTGTCTATAAAAGGATGAGATCAGACATTACGATAAATCGGTCTGGCTTTAATTATAATATCACAGTTCCTCATCTGTGGATTAAAACGGACCGGTCATCTGACTTGTGATTGTGTGTTGTGATTGCTCTCAGTGAATAATGCTGTGACCATCAGTATTCCTCCTGCTCCTCTGTCAGGTTGAAACTGGCCACAAGAAGCATCCAGGCTGTTGTTTACAGAGATTACAGGTTCTCTGGTGACACTTTCACTCTGCTGCACCACGTTTCTGCTCGTCGTGCACACAATCACAGTGAAGGGTGCTTTATACTTCTGACTGCATCTGAAGCCATTCATCACTCACACAATATGCATGATCCTTTTGGCTCTGAGATGGAGACGCAAACACAAATCTACAGACGTTTAGCTGCTGAAAGGGTTTTTTTCAGGGTGGGGTTTCCCGGCCCGAGTCCAACCCTCAGCTGTTACAGGTTGATTTGTTATGAAAATGTTTTCATTGGGTTGCACAACACAATCAAAACCAATTACTGCTCGAGTGGGTGTTGCCGCCTCAAAACATGGAATGCACTTTCACAACAATCACTACGAGTGTAGAGATCAGCAGAGGCGGATCCAAACAAAAACATTTGAGCGATAATCACAGTAATCATTGTCCAAATCAATATTCCATATTAATATTGACATTTGTGCATCACAACAAATATCCAAATAGAGTTTATCTGAGAAGCGCCTTCCTTTGTCCAGACTCATGTCATGAAGAATCTGTGCTGGCTGAGTCGCTCTGTCACATGAATGACAAGGACGTGATTATGGAGGACGGCTGCGTCGCTGCAGCTCGAGAGTGTGAGAGTGACATCGCTGTCAGAGGCTGCACAGTAAAAGCTATAACAGGTCTTAAAGCAGCACAGCGTGAAGGGACGAGAGTCTGAATATGAAATAAAACACTGCAGGTAAATTCTGGTGATAGTCAGTGTGGCAAGAATCCGCTGGATAAGAATCGGCAACTAGAGAAAAAACAGATGAATCATGAGTTTGTCAAATCATGAGAGAATAAAAAAAAACCTGATTGCTTAATTAAGCAACAAGTCTGTGTTCAGCCAGCAGCAAACTAAGCTGCGACTTGTTCTCCCATGAGGATACAAGGAGAAAGCACTGGACGTCATTATTGAAGCCGAATGAAAAATAGAATTAACTGCGGGTGCCTCCACCAACCTGTGCAGTTTCAGTCTACAGACATTCTTCTCTCAGGCTTACATGAGGTCACAGTGACCTTCACCTTTGACCCATCTCATCAGTTATTCCATGAGTCCAACTGATGAGGAGGCGTCCTTGAGATATTGTGTTCACAAGAATGGGACGGACGGACAGACCACCTGAAAACATAATGTCTCCAGCCACTGGGTGTCGCTGGCTTGAAGGCATGAAAACAACTAGATGAGTAATGAAATTAAACTAAGAAAAGTTTTCGATTAGACAACATATGCAAGAAGATTTACAGCCTCAAAGTTGAACGCCTCCACCAGCCTGTCAGTGTAATCGTCAACAACTCATCAGAAAGTTGCTGAAATGTTTGAGCCACGATGTCTGTGACCTAAAGTCAGGAGGGAGGAGGAGGAGGAGGAGGAGGGAGTTTAAACTGTGCACACTGTGCAGACAGCCTGTTCATATACGTGGGCTGCATTTGAATTCATTTGAACGAGTTATTTGATCATTTTCATTCCAACTTAATTTCAGAGACAGGGAGAGACTACTCCAAGTCCAGTGGGAACGGGGGGGGGGTCGCTTGCTTTCCTTCAGATTTACTCATCAGTGAGGTCTGGAACCACACATGGAGGAGGTTCATGGCAGCCAGCCACCAGGGGGCGATCATGGTGTTTTGGCTTCACTTTTAGGAGCTTATATATCGTCCATCTTTAATTAAACTCTCTGGGTAACGGTTGCCACCGAAGATCCAGATGAATTGCACAAATCAAACCGACAGAGGAAACAGAAACAAACACATTTGAAGCAGAACTCAGGATTCAGTCTGCGTCCTCCAGAGACGGACGTGTGGGGCCTGTGTTCAGTCCCACAGCTCATTTATAACGTCAATGATCCAATCAGTGTAAAACGTTTGTAACGCTGCCAAACAGCATCAGCCAGGGAGCTGCTGGTGATTTATGCTGCTTCATTACAGCCGAACAAATCACGGCTTTCAATGGCTTTCAACCCACTATTGATCAGCCTGCTCTGAAGTGGAGGTGGAATATGGGCCGGCATTAGCAGGCTAATTTAGACGGGGCTGCTGGGGCCAAGTGTTGGAGAACGGACAACAAAAGACTGATGAACTGAACCGACGGTTCACAACACAACCCTGGAGTTTTCAGACCAAAACAAGGACAGCAGCATTTACAAAAGTCTCTGATTGAGAAGCTGGAAAACTCTGGAGGATGTGGATGTAGAACATCAGGCTTTTCATTGACACTGGAGCTGGTCGGATATTCAAACGCTGCCGAGATAACGCTTGATTCAAAGCTTCCTGCCCTCTGACCACACACACACTCACTCACTCACTCACACACACTCACACACACACACTCTCACTCACTCACACACACAACACATGGTGCTGCTGACCTCCAGTGGTCTGCCTGTATCACTGGTCCAGCTCTGCTCACAGCCGTCACTGTGTCCTCTCTGCCGGTGTCATGTCTGAAGCCACTTTGCAGATTTAAAAGGCTCCGTAAACCTACCACAGGTCCTGTCAGTCACTTCGACCGGAGGGCAGATGAAGTCTTTGAGATGAAGTTAAACCTGTGCTACAAACATCAGCAGCCTCTGGTCTTTGACATTAAAACACTCCTGGTCGGATCCCTGGTTCTGCTCGTCTCCACATAATCCACTAGAAACCCAGTTTTAGTGACATCACAGCAGCAGAGCAAAACAGAAACTGGGTCCGAACCACTTCAACAACACTCAGTGTAAATTAAATCAACTGTCTTCTAGATGTTCAGTAGAAAACACAAGGTGGTCTGAGAGCATGCTTCCTGTCTGTGCGACACAACTGGACAAAGACGCCTCTCAACTGAAGAAACCACTTCCTGTCTGGTCAAGTCTGACCTGTGGACTTTTATCTTCAATTGATTTTATTGTTTTGATTCTGACACTCACCTGTTCACAGGTTAGACAGAACACGACCACTTCGTGGTCACTAATGGCCGCCACCACAAATTTGTCAGAGGAGTCCCGGGTTGGAGGATGAAGATGAGGTTTGTAACCCACCGACCACACGTTTCACGTCTGCCAAGAAAACACTCTTTTTTACAACGACCACTTCGGAATAATCCTAAAACCATCTGTCACTGCGTGTTTGCTTTTAACCTTGAGGAAGCTGAGGAGAAACACTCTGTTGTTTCATTTAAATCACAGCTTATTAAGTAAATATGGAAACCTGCAGTCTGCCAAGTCACATCAAACCAGAGCCGCAGGTCTAACTTATATTTTACCCATGATGCCTAGTGCCGACTGTACAAGCCTGTGGGGGCGGTGCTATGATCTGGGGTTGCTGCAGTTGGTCAGGTCAAGGTTCAGCAACATTATGTTCCCAAAGAACGAGGTCAGCTGACCACCTGAATATACTGAATGACCAGGTTATTCCATCAATGGATGTTTTCTTCCCTGATGCCACGGACGTATTCCCAGAGCACAGTTTCATCGTGCTCTTGTGACAGAGTGGTTCAGGGAGCATGAGACATCATTTTCACACATGGCTTGGCCACTAACAGAGTCCAGACCTTAACCCCATTGAGAATCTTTGGGATGTGCTGGAGAATTAATGCAACACTGGAAAGAAATAAATCTTGTGACATCGCAGAAGCTAAAGGCGGTCCAATGAAATATTAGAGGGTGTGACCTTTTTATTTGGTGGCGACTTTATATTTGGCCAGGCAGTAAAATAAAACCACAACACGCAGCAACCAACATCAAATCAGATCCTTTCTAACAGGAAATATAAAAGCTCAATATCACGTAAATGATCACGTGGTAACTTAAACCTGTGAAAACAGACGTACCACAGGCGGCCCCTACTGGCCACAGGAGATAGTTGTTAACAAACAACTAAAACTTGTGTTCAAGCTCATGGAGAGTTAGGAAATATTTAGTTACAGTTGTACCGATTTTAGAGACATGAAGCATTTGAAGATTCTCCAGAAAATCACATCACAGGAAGTAAGAATACCGACGTAGACACTGGAGGAACATTTCCTCTGCAGAGTTCAGAGGTTGAAAGCAAAGTCACAGATCCACGAATGAACTGATAATCATACTAATACAATCATTTTGTTAAATAGAGGTGAATAAAAAACACAAAAACACTCCTCCATTTTAACAACCATCTGATCGATGCAGCTGTTAAACTGACGAGATGTCTGCACTGTCATTATTACACTGTTACTGCACTGTCATGATACTGTCACACTTTAATATGTTTATCTCTCAGCTGTGTTTTTACGAAGAAAAAAAACTAAAAACTGTACATTTGAATTTTGACTTCTTGATTCTTCGCTGCTGTAACAAGAAGAGCTGCAAAAAGAATTTGAATGTTGGTGACAATGTTAAACACTGACCATAAAGGATTCTGATTCTGATGTCACAAAGAGAAAATCTACAGAAAAACGACACGAGGACATTTGTCACACACACACACACACACACACACACACTCAGTCACTCCACCTGGTCTCATCCATTTCCCAGCAGGCCCTCTGCCTCTCGCTCTCTCTTGTCACCCTGTGATCTGCAGCCATTCAGGAAGCAGTACTGAGGCATGCTGAGTCTGTGATTGGTTCACACAGAACACAGAATAAAGACTCTCTCACCTGCAGCGTACGAGCTCACACCTCACCTGTCCTGTCTTATACAACTAGAACTCACTTGATGAGGACTCAACACACCTGAGACGTAAATGTCCAACACAGAGACAGAGAGAATAATCTTTTGTTTCTGGACAGAAGAAGAAGGCTCGTCTCTCCTCCACAGCTCTGAAGCCTGTGAGCTCACACAGACACAAACGTCTTCTTCTGTTTGATGTTGAAGATTAATTATTGAACCATTCATCATTAAAGTGTTGGTTGAGTGGCATCATGGGTAATGCAGGCGTCAGGTTTGGACTATAGACTGTAAATAAGGACGGTCCTGGCAGCAAGGAAACTGAAGCAGTTGTGTGGAGGGACAGTAGAGGACAGAAGACAGCAGAGGACAGAAGACAGCAGAGGACAGAAGACAGTAGAGTCATGGTGGCTGACAGAGCCCCGCCCACCTTTGATTAGAGGGTGATAAGTTTTTCTCTAAGATAAAACTTTGACTCAATGAGGTCGATGTGTAGATATCATGACGCAGACAGATTGAACCAGAGATTCAAAGCAACATGACGTGTTTCATCAGACACATCATGGAGTTTACACGCGATGAACATGTGATGAACACGCGAAGAACACATTGAAGACGTGTTTGGACTGAACGGACCCTCACTTTGATCTCCATGACAACACCTGTGGGCGTGGTGCTGCTCTGACTCACTGTGACGGGACGTCTCACTGGGTGGAGCTCATTCTCTACACGTCACATGTCTGACGTCAGAAGGAGCTGTCTCCGGCCTCTGGACAACCTCCACTGACAGTCCAAGTCACAGCCCTGTCCTCATAGACGTGTCCTCATAGACGTGTCCTCACAGCCCTGTCCTCACAGACGTGTCCTCACAGACGTGTCCTCACAGACMTGTCCTCACAGCCCTGTCCTCACAGACGTGTCCTCACAGCCCTGTCCTCACAGACGTGTCCTCACAGACGTGTCCTCACAGCCCTGTCCTCACAGACATGTCTTCCTCAAGTTAGTCTGACCCGTCCCGGCCACTGTCCCCGGGGTAAACCCCGGTGTGACCCTGTCTCTGGTGGAGGCTAAGCTAGCACCTGACAGGCCAGGTAAACAAAGCTAACACGGATGCTAACAGTAGCCACGGCTAACATTAGCCACACACTCACAGTAATAAGCCACCACCGGGTCCCGGTCCTCGTGCTCCTGTGCGGTGCGGAGGTAGTGCTGGATGGGTTTGAGCTGAGCCGGGAGAGCCATGGCTGTGGAGCCTTCACCGGAGAGTCCACCGGAGAGTTCACCGGAGAGTTCACCGGAGAAGCACTGGCTGCTAACTGTTGTTAGCAAGAAGTGAGTCCGTCACTTCCGCGTGTTTGTCCAATAGGAGCGGCCGCCTACACGGGACGGGTGACGTCACCGGCTGCTCAGACGCCCCACCTTGACTTTATTATGAAAAGTCAAGTTTTTATTTTAATCTGTGACGATGAAACGTTTCAAAAATAAAACCCTTAATACTGAATACAGACTCGTCTTCATGGTCATCATGTCCAGTATCAGGGACGGAAGTCTGTCCACAGGTCCAGAGGTTGGACATTAGGATTGAGAACATGAGAGAAGTTGTCCTGCTTCTGTTCACTTACATTCACTCCTCGAGTTTCTTCCATCAACATTAGTTTGCGTCTTGAACGAAGTGATTTGAATAAAACAGAGCTGAGTTCTTCTTCGATCAGTCGATCTGCCTCTCCATCCATTTCTCTAATCTTGAATCCATCTCATCTGACTTCTCAATATTTTATTTTGCTAAATTCATTGATTGTCTGTAAAATGGGTGAATGCGACAACCACAATTTCCCAGAATGCAATGTGACAGTTTCACAGTTTTTGTTTTGTCCCAACAACAGTCGAACCCCAGCGACCCCAGGTCACTACAACAGAACATTAACTGAAGAGTTCTTAAAGTGAACTTTTACAAACAAGTTATTCCCAGAGGAGCTGATGACTCACAAAGTGGGTGGTGCCAGACACGTCAGACTCGGCTCTGCATTTTTAAGTTTGAACAAATTGTGTTGATTTCTTGTATCTGTTTGTATTTTTGAAATCAAGTAAATCAAAATAAAACAAAGACGATTGTCGGACATTTTTAATCAATCATCTCAAGACAAAACAAGTAGGAGAATTACGAGTCACCTACAGAAAACAGCAGCACTCAGACAAACAGAAATTAGTTTCAATGTGTTTGTGTTGGTCATAAAGTTGTTCTCTCTGACATTGCTGTGAAGTTGAAGACATTTTAAACACACACAACAGCTGATGAAAGATGAAATTAGTTTTTTTTTCCACAACTAACAGAACAACATTGGTAAAAATCTAAGATAAAAACATTGGAGATGAATTGTTAATGCAGTTTAGTTTATGATGCATCATGGTTGATGGATTTCCAAAGATTATCTTGAGATTTGTGGCATAAAGAAGCATCATAATAAAGATGGACTCCTGGACTCTGTAAACAGCTCAGTGTAATTCCCCAAATCCTCCAATATGCTGCATCTCATAGCTCTTTGTTGATATTTTACATTTCAGTACAAGTTGAATTCTGCATCAGACCAAAACCATTATCACTATTAATCTCTGAATGACTCAGACTTCAGCAAAATATTAATAATGCCAGTAAAACGGTTTTAAAAAGTATTTTTCCCTCAATGCTACGACTTTTTCTTTTTTAATACACAGAGGTTTTATCTTTAAATATTCAGATCATAAAAAAGTGATTTTATTTTTGTAACGTCGTTGTAATGTCAATATGACGCTCAGTTCTCACTGTCGCTGAGAAACTGAAAACAAGCTGTCCGTGCTGATTGGCTTTCAGCGTTATGGTAAGAAGTTAGCGAGCTCGGCTGTTAACCTCACAAAGGGTCTGTAAGTGATTCATTCGATGTTTTCTCATGATTCTCTGGAGTCAACCAGCAGAGCAGAGACGATAGAATACGATTCATCCACTCAAAATGAAGATGGATGAGATGGTTTCAATTCACGTTCACTGAAGCTGAGCACAATGTGAAAGATTCATTTGGATAATTTCAGGGCAGCGTTTTTGCCAAATGGTCCCAGACTGGATGAATTTCTTGAAACAGCAAAGGTGTTGAATACTGTATTTTTATTATATGTAAACAAGGCCTAAGACTTGGGGACAGAATTTTCAGAGGCAAAATTTACAACCATCAACCACTGACCAGACGCAGACGAACCCAAACCACAGGAGTTCACCTGATTCGAATCCTCTCAAACCCCGTCGGACCGAACCGGTCGGTGGTTCTGTGGGTCAGGATCCGTCAGCTTACAGTACTCAGGGGTTTGAGAGGATCTGAAGGGAAGGTTTGATCCACTTTTGTCTGGTAATGCAATTTTGTACCTGAGATGATAAACAGATTGCTGAAAACTTCATAACAAAAGCTGGATGGATGTCTGATTAAAAAAGAACTTTACAAAACATGAGAGGTCATTATTTTCAGAAACACTGACAGGGACACCAGGGCACAACGTGTTCTGAGTAATATAAAACCACGAGCTAGGAAGAGGTTAAATATATAGAGACTGTGTGTGTGTGTGTGTGTGTGGGGGGGGGGGGGGGGTTAGTTTTACTTTTCAACCATAAAAACCATCGTTATCTGTCTCAACTTGTTTGTTGGGATTTTGTGAAACAATGATATAGCAATAATTCATTCATCCTCGGATGGCAACCAATTTGTTTGTACTATTAAACAAATAATGTGTAGTACTTCTTGTTAGCGATTACATTTTTAGATAGTTTCAATTTTCAAAATTTAAGTCAGTCTTTAGGTTCTTACATCAAATCCATTTATATTCATTTAGTTTCTTGGTGGAAACTTTACCCTCAAAGAGTAAACCACTACATTTCAAATATGTTGGTGAAAGCATCGTTGTCCTGCTACGTGTCAATGAAGTCAACTGAGCCATTAGTTCTTGATTCTACGGCTCAGGTTGTTTCAACACCCACCAAGCTGAAACAGATATCTGAAAAAACATGTGACACTGCTGATGGATGTCAGAACGGACTGGAAGCAGAAACAGAAGTGAAACGTGTCACACATGGAAGAGTCAGGACCACTGGCCCCTGAAGTTCATGGGTAGAGTTTCCTTAACCAGCTCCCAAAGAATGACACGAGTGAAACTCCATCGGTGGTCCGCCTGTCACATTTGATCAACACCTGGAACCCAGGCTACAGCATCTCTCTGCACTTTCATACTGAGTCGTGTGTTCTATCATTTACATTGTTGTCATTTACATCACTCGAAGACTTATTGACACTTTACAAATCTGCTCATATAAATCTGTGTTGGTCCGATGTTGGCACTTTATCACTGAACAAAGTCCAGAGAGGAGGCATCATATTGATCTGATGAGCTTTGATGCAGTTCCTGCATCTTGACACAAACGGGAGGAATAATGCTTCCAGCGTTCCTAAGAGTGAACGTACAGGTTTTAGGAATCCTCACGCTGTCGTGGGCCATCTGGCTCAAGACAGTTGGGCTTTCCCAATCTCTATTCTGACCATGGTTGCATCTTAGAGTCGCACCATGACGCTGACACCTCTTTCAGTCGTCAGGTGGAAAAATAGAAGACCAGAAAACCTGTCATCCCTTCCCCCAAATTTTCAGAGTCGGGTTCATATTCTCTGGTCATCACGTCCATACAAGACCCACTGATGAAACGGAGCTTGGGTAAATCGTTCTATCTATAAAACACCTGACGAATATTTCAGACCAGCTCTGACGTCAGTGCACATCCTCCACTGATGAAGATCTGCTCTTTCGTTAGCTTCCTGTCTCACAAATGTCCAAGAGGAGCTCACTGTTAAAACTGGCACAAATAGTGTCCTGTACTTTCACCCTTCTCTGTCTCTTTGTGTGCATGTGTGTGTGTGTGTGTGTGTGTGTGTGTGTGTGTGTGTGTGTGTGTCATTGGTTGTTGAGATAACCTAGCCGCCGGCAGAGTATCTCAAATATCTCAGCAATACAGAGAAGTATGGTTATCACAGTGAAGGTGTACATGGCACTGAGGAAGATGGTCTTCTCAAAGTGTTCGGGCACCATGCACTTAGTCACATTAAAGCTCTTTTCCAAAGCACTGGCGTCACACATGTACAGTGGGTGGACCTGGGGGGGGAAGAGAAACACGGGGCATTTTTTATCGTCTGCATTGATTGATTGATTGCAAGATGTACAGTCACTGTATTACTCTCTGATTCATATTACACACGACACTGGAATCACACTGGAACTATGTCCGTCTCAGTTCTCTCTCTTTTCCAAATGGATCTCTGGATGAAAGTGTTCAACACTGGAGACAAATCTCAAACATACAACAACTGAGCTTTCTGTGAAGAGTTAGACAAGATATGAATCCACTGTTGAACTGCTGCTTACAACAGGAAGAACAGCAAGTTAAGATATTCCCTTCAGCATTGTTTGGTTGTTTTGGTATGACCATTTGGAAAAGGAACGTTTGGAAGATATAAGATATTCTGAGTATGACTGATCAGAAAGGGAACTGTTGGCTGCCTGGACACGCTGGAAGAACTTCTCATCCTGACTTAAGGAGGCTTGTGTTCTGCACAGGAAGAACTCAAGAGGTTCATGAGGGAAGGGGATATTCTTCTGCTTAAATTACTCTGGGTCAGCAACATGAAAAGGAACTGATGGATACAAGGCTATGCCACAGACTCTGTCTTAAAGTTTAGATTATAGACAACTGACAGACCTGGAAGCCAAAGAGGTGACTTTGTAGCCAGAAGGCGATGACTTCTAGAATGATGCGTAGGAGAACAGAAATGATATAGAAGACGGTGTAGATGGGTCGTTCGAGGATCTCCTCCTGGTCAATGTTCTTACAGGCTGCGTAGAGGTGGAACACTGCGCCGGGAACTAACACCGTCACCAGTTGTAACGCCCAGAAGACCTGGAGAGGGCAGAAATACGGAAGTGGGAAGTGAGAAAAGCCTGCGGAATAAAGGAAAGAATAAAGGGATCATGAAATAGATAGTTCAGTGACTGCTGCAGTTATTCATCTCTGAAAATGACATTTTCTACCAACATGACAGAGCCGTCCTGCTGATAATGACCTGTTTCAGAATCTGTAGAGAAAACTGTATCTGATGTCGGAGTACTTGATGCTGATGATTCTTATATGTCATGACGGTTTAGAGTAGGTCGGGAGCTCATGTGATTTATGGGTTGAAAACAGATTCACCTGATGAAGGAGCTGTAGTTTATCACAGGTTAGCGCGACCAGGCTATACACTTTCAGTCTTAAGTAACTGAACCATGTTGTAAGGTCGCACGTCTGTGAGCATAACCTTTAGTATGATTTGACACATAGATGTATCTGCGGTTGTAGATCAAAAAGATGGACGACTTGACAGCTCCCAATAGTGAAGCCAAAGTGTCTTGATCACCCCCTGGTGGCCGGCTGCACAGGCTCCACGATATGAGCCAGCTTATTGCACAACCAACAAAATGAACTTGAGCCCTGTAGTTGAGGAGAGTTCGGTCCTACCTGGGGTGTTATGGGTCTGAACTGGTTGTAGCAGTAGAGGTTGAGCTCTCTGCGATCAGGGTCGCAGCTGAAGTGCAGGGCCTCATTCCCGTAGACGGCGAAGCCAAGAACGCCCAAGAAGAACATCCGCACCGAGCCGAAGAACAAGGTGTGGAACTGGCCTATCACCGTAGGAGGCCTGAGCTGGAACAAAGACACACACACACACACACACACACACACACACACACACATACACACACACACACACACACATTAATCAAAGTGCATGTTACAGTAAATAGGGAAACACAAGACAGCATAGACACTCCTATGTGCACATACAGACACATTTATAACGTAAACACACAACCATTCACATTTTCATGGCACACACACACACACACACACACACACACACACACAGAGCCTCTGTCAGTCAGATGAATGCCGCTGTGGCCCTGAGCTCCGACGGCTGAAACAAAACCCACTGAGAGGAAACATTTCCCGTCTCGTCCCTCAGCCTCCTCGGCTCTGAGTGTTTATCAGGAGCAGAGACACGCTCACAAAGCAAAGAGCCTTCTGGTTTTCAAACATGTCACTCATGACAACATGAACACAGAGGCAGGGAGGAGAGCGATTAAAAAGACAAAACACAGATCAATGTCTTTTCATTTTCAGCCTCCAGGGGGATAATTGTTCCACGTCGCTCCTCCGTAACTGTCAAATCCTGAAAGGTACAAAGTGGTTGAATGTGATAATAAAATCCACACAGCCGATCTACTTACGCATCCCTCATAGAAGTTTTTGATGTAGTTTAAAGACATGGTTGACTTGTTGACGTCCCCTGTTTAACTGCAGGGCTGCTCTGGGCCCTCATGGCCGGTTTGCTGCTGGCACCAGTTAAAGGGCCTCCCACGGTCGGGCTCCAAAATCTCCAAATGAACCCTCTCTCCCTCTGTCCCGAAAGCCCATGTCAGTGCATATTTTTTTTGCCTTTATCCCTCCATCAATTGACTCGCTCAGTAGAAAAAGGACAACAGACACAGAGGGGCCAACAATGGCCTGGGAGGGCATGTGCTCCCTGCATTATAATCCCTATAGAACTATGTCAGCGAAAAAACAACCTCCTGTCGCACACAATGCAGAGCGATGGCAAACATGCAACAAAAATACAATGCACCTGGTGGAGTAAAGCAACACGGGAGCTCAGCTCAAACAAACCGCTCTGACTTTTTATTTTAAAGTTACATTCTGACATTTTCAGCTTCATTTAGAAAAAGGTTGAGAGAAACTTTCTTCTTTA